TTTTGACCTCCTTTTCATTTTTATATGTTTAAGTTCTTACCTACGACGTCGGTCGCGTCCCGTCTTTCTAGCGAGTTCATCTTAAGAGATAGACGTATATTGACGCGGACATTTTGTTTATCATTACAGTTTTTTGTATATCTTGAACCGTTTTCGCAGCGTACGCATCGGAAGCCCACAAGGTTGACTAATTTCCCCCGTTTTTTTCACATTTCCTGCTATTTCTTCGCTCCTAATAATCACAACGTAATTTCCACTATAAATCCTCTCACTAAAACCAAAATATTTTTTCAATTCGAAACAGTAGTTCGTGAGGTTATTGCATATAAACATACAAATAAAAAAACTCTAAAGCTTTATTTATTAGTATAGATAACATCGGTTAAAATTAAAGATTAAAACAAGCTTTTTATTGTTTTTGAATATAGAAAATACTTTTCACTACGTTAGTTAACTAAACATTACTCTATCAATATATTGTACGAAGACCCAAAATATAGTAGGTACAATAACAGAAATTATAGTACGATCGGCAACCCTAGAAGTAACACTGCGCGGACGCAAATTAATAGACGCGATTATTCCAATTAATGCGAAAGCGTGTAGATGTACGATTTAACAGTCCAGTTTTTGCGACAATATGCAGGTATTTCTATGAATTTCCGCCAGCGAACGTTTATATTGATCAATAGTTCCGGGTAAGCAAAGTGTGACGGTGCGAAAATGTGATGGGGTGACCAGAATGATTTTAACCTCAAATTAATAAATGAGTGTAATTCCGTTTCCCTCCGTGGGGCATGGGCAAAACACAGTTCTGTGTACGTTTCACTAATCGGTTATTTATAAGCAAGTAGTTGATCAGACTCCTGTGTCCTGTTTGACCGAAACTATCTATTGTTTCCTCGGGATTTGAACCCGGTCGTCGCGTTTACCGCAACACTAACGCAATTTGCAACACCTTTAAACAAAGGTAAATGAAGCATTATTTTATTCACTTCTACAATGAATTCGAAAAACTAAACTAACAAAAAAATAATAAATAACTAATATTCTAATATTTAATTGTGTTACTGTCTATAGTTTACGCGAGTAGCACACATTTAAATAAAACACTGTAACGTTCTAAAACGCGATATATTAGTTAAACTTATTTGAAAATGTATATATATATCGCGTTTTAAACCGTTAAAGTGTTTTATTTAAATTTAAATGTGTACTGGCGTAAACTGCAGACGATACTAAGACACGATTCTATCGAAAAGAACTCTCTGGCATCATTCGATTGTGCGAACGAACTCCTACTCGATCTAAATTTACAAGTAAACATTTTGCGAGGTATTTTACGAACTAAGAATACAGCTCGCCACTTTATTTATACCATAATTGCTTTTGGTTTACCTAAAACTAAACTTGTCTAAAATTTAGATTTTAGACGATCTACATTGAAAACTGGTGGAATATCACAATACCTATACTAATAATATAAAGCTAATGAGTTTGTTTGTTTGAACGCGCTTATCTTTGGAACTAACGAAGCATTTATCGAGAAAGGCTTTAGGCTATAAACGATTCAAAATACCCAAAAAATATGTGTAAATACTTAATAAGATTAACTCGCAAGGACCACGGGATGCGGACGATGTAAATATAATAAATATAATATGTAGCCGAAAATAACTAATCCACGCGGACTAAGTCACAAACACGGCTAGTAATACTTATATAGACTGGCAAAACCGTTCTGAAAAAATACAATGCTCCAATATACAAAGCCTGCCCCAATATCCAACTTTATGGCATCCATAATTATGGTGGACTATATTCTATGTTTAGAAGTCATAATTTTCCTTGTGGCTGGTGATTGACACACTTCTAGTAACACAATTTTCCTCATCACTCGTTTGTTATTGAACTGTAACTTAATAAAACGACACTACATATAGGTAAAGTTAACCTCTATAGCTAAATGGGTAAACGTGTGGCGTTTAGCACGAGAGGTCCTGCGTTCGATTCCCGGCAATAGATTAATTCGGGCAGGGCATCAAAATATGATCAGCTACTTATCTACAATTAAAACCAGTAAAATGCACCAGAAAGAGGTCAGTGATACGGGCACGGAATAGTGTTTTTCCCACGGGGGAAACGGGATTTCATTTTTTTATATATTGTCTATAGTTAACGCGTGTAATGCGCATTATATATTAGTAAATTACTTTTCCGTGGCTGTGGTTGCTGCAAGAAGCTTTGAATATTTTAATTAAACACTTTAACGGTTTAAAACGCCATATATTAGTTAAACTAATTTGAAAGTGATTTTTAACTTCGTTTCGACGTTTCAGATGCTTTGCAATCATTTCCAAATAAGTTTAACTAACATATCGCGTTTTAAACCGTTAAAGTAGTTTATTTAAATGTGTACTACTCGCGTAAACTATAGACAGCTTTGAATATTCGAAAATCCACAGACTGAAACAAAATGCGGATTTACACTTCACGGACTCGTGAGAATTGTTAATTTATTTTTACAAAATATGTTGGACCCGGTATAAATAAAATCTGACCCGTTGATATTAGCTATAAGATGTTTCCGCTGGACCAGCAAGCCTAACAAAACATCTAATTTAGACCGACAGTATTGTTCTCTATTTTCAGTTCATGTAAGAATATCTGTTCACTGAATTTTGAACTGCTCTGCTTTAACCCATTTTATGGAAGAAAAATAAGTGTCATGTTACATGTATATTTAATTGGGACGCGATATATTTAGACGTTTTCCGCAGAGATCGTTCACACGATGGCGAAACGATGTTTTCTCTTGAGACACACACACATTGCATTTCTGAGATCTTTGATTTTATGTATGAACTACTATTTATAAATAAATGACTTAAACTGTGTGTATTACACAGTTATTATAAGTCATTTATTTATTTATTAAACCATAACTTTCTTGAGATAGGTAATTTTTGAATTTAAAATGCTTTATAATCTCAATAAGTTTAGTTTTAAGAGTAAGTATAATTTAAAAGAAGATTTTTATAAGATATTGCAATCATTAATAGTTTCAGAATTATTTGAGACAGAAATATTTGAGACGGACAATGTGTCTGACATGCCCGTCTCAAATAACGATTCGATTCATCATTCATTGATCATGTGGCATTAGTAACAAGTTCTAAAATAACAAGCGGTCGTATAATTTTTTTTTTTGAAAGATCTGTAAATATTCACTTTCAAATAAAACACGTTTAACAGTTTGTAACGCGAAATATATTAGTTAAAATTTACAAATTATTTTATCCCTGCGTAACCACGCCTGCAAAGCATCTGAAACGGCGAAACGTAGTTAAAATAAATAGTAAACTGTATATATAACTTAACTAAAGACATTTCGTGTTTGTTAAAAGCGTTTTATTTAAAAATGTGTCACGTTAACTTTAAGCGTCCTTAAATATTCACTTATGCCTAATAACATCTGTGGTTCAATCATAAATGTCGTACGATAGTTAAAACTATCGCGCGGTGTCGTGTAATCGTGGCACGACTTTGTGCGTCGGCGCGGCGATTACAACATAAATTCTCGTGTATAAATATACCTCACACCTATCTCTTCTTTGAACTAACTAGTATACCAGCTATTTAGGTGCGCGTATTTAAGATCTAAATACATATGTAACAATATTTGTTCTGAACCTATATAGTTTACTAGCTAAGCCAGCGACTTCTTTTGCATAGAATAGTTAATTCGGGCATCCACATTCGTCTTTACCTACGACGTCGGTCGCGTTCCTTCTCGTCGTTCTTGCAAGATAATCTTAAGAGATAGACATATAGCGTCGCGGACTTTTTTTAGATCATTTGTAGAGAATACATTCTGTTACACATTTTTTGGGTATCTTGAACCGTTTTTGCAGCGTAAGCCTCGGAAACCCATAATGATGGATAATTTTCCCAATTTTTCTTCACATATCTCGCTGTACCTTCGCTTGTATTAGTCACAGGGCGATGTTTTACTACTTTAATAAAGCTGAAAACGTTTGTCCGTTTGTTTGTTTAATAAACGCTACAGCTTAAAAAAACTCTTCAGCTTTAAATATTAGTATAGATAATATATATATATATAAGCTGACTTTTTTTTGTTGGAAATGAATTGTGCAGCCGCACGCTGGGGCTTCATTTAATGAAGTGGAATGGGAATTTAATCCCTAGAACCCTATGATCATTGCGCGCAATTACAGGAAGATCAGCACAATAGTAACCTTGTCCAAAAGGCCTGTCCCTCGCTGTAACTGTGCCGCATTACAAAATGTGCGGGACCCACCTTCGGACCTTCAACTTACTTTTTCTAACTTGGCAAAGAATTCAACAAAAATGACCGATTTCAAGCCATAGAGACACAGTGATGACCTTTTATAGAGTGCCTAGATACCACAGGGATAAAAAAGCATCGATTATATAATCATTTCAGTGTTTTTAAAGTTAATCAATGTAAACCTTGTAAACGAACGTAAAAATGACGATTTCGTGTGCGTTACTAAGGCGGTCGTTTATGGTTTATAGCATTTTTTACTGATGGTGTAACGTCGGGCAAAAGTAACACGGGGAGTATGGTAAGCCCTCTACGGTGCTTTGAGGGAGCCCTGGCAATAATCGTTTATACCCTAATAACATAATAATAAAAAACTAATAAATATATGATTTGAGTATATATAATACAATTTACGATATTTTTGTTTGTACATCTGTCTGGTGGTAACTTAATATTGTTTTCACTAGTGGGCTTCAAGAGCGTTCCTCGTCTTAGGAAAGACTGTTCTAGTCTTCGCTATTAAAATTGACTCATTTCTGTGTCCACAATATAGATTTATTGAAAGCGAGTAGTACTTAGTCTTCTGTGCCCTGTCCGACCGAAACAAAGGTCCTTAGCGCATTACTTACATGGTTAATCACTTAACCATAGATAGTCTCAGCTTTACTCAAATTATAATCTGTTTTTTTAGCAAATCAAAATGGCGACAACAATGGAATCTTCACAGAGCCTTATACAAGCGGAGTCGAGGGTCACACATAGCTACCAAGAAGTACAGGTCTCGGAAACGAGGCAGGTGAAGAAGAAGAAATCCAGTAGACGGCATAAAGAGGAAGGATCTATATCCGTTGTAAGTATAGCAAAACAAAATAGATCATCGTTTACTTTATTAAATTTAGAGGTTTACTAAAATGGCCTCTATATTCTATCGATATGGATGTAAGAAACGCTACGTCATGTTGGTAAAAATATATGCAGTTTCTAATCATTAATTTCACATCACCTTGACATGACGAGGTGGCCGAGTGGTTAAGGCGTTGGACTGCTAATCCAATGTGCTCTGCACGCGTGGGTTCGAATCCCATCCTCGTCGATCCTTTTTTTTTATTTATTCTTACTTTCTATTAATGGTTTAATGATTCTTAGTTGGCCTAAATCTTTATATTTTTGTATTTATAACAAATAAATTTTATACTATTTATTAATTAAATATAATTACATTATATTGAATTTAAAACATTAAGAATTTATTACCAAGAGAAAAAAAATATTTATTTAATTTTTACTTATATATGTTTTTTAAATCTACCTGTTAACGTTGAAAGGTAAGAAAATTTTAACTAATTCTTCCAAAACTATTTTTTAATTTACCAAGACGCAGCGACTCCCATTTTTCGCGAAAAAAAAATACTAAACGAGACTCAAAAAGTGATATTTACCATTTTTGTAGTCAAAGAGTTCGGAAAAACTATTCAAGAAGATGAAAGCGGCGGAGGAAAACCCGAATTGTGCTAAATGCTCCCGACCTGTCTACGCCATGGAGAGGATAAAGGCAGAGAAACGCACCTGGCATAAGGAATGCTTTAGATGCGTGCAATGCAACAAGCAACTGACGTACGTATGAAAATTTAAATTCTTGCCTAATAGTGGGAGCTACAGAAAATAAATTCCATATTAAACACTTAGTTTACGCAAGTATTACAAATGTATCGGATTAAAATACACATACAACTTAGTACAACGCATAGAAAACTTCGGATCATGGAATAAATTAAAAATAAGTAAATAAAGTGTTACAACACAACACTGTTCGTTTCGCTAATCGGTTTTCTCAACAGACAAATAACTGATCAGACTTCCATCTCCTGCCCGAACGAAGCAATCTATTGTTGTCCTGGGATTCAAACCTCTCAACTCTCAACACGCTTAACCTATCAGTTACAGAGGCGGTGTCTCTATAAATAATATAGAAATTAAACATCAACAATACGGGCGGGACTCGAACCGACATCCACGTTTCGTGCTGCTGTTCTAACCAATTGACCTGCAGTTCTATAAACGTAGTCGTAGTAAAGTTTCACGATTTGAACCGTTATTTTTTTATTTCAATTCCAAGTGTGATATTTTTTTAAGCATATTAATTTGATCCTAAATTTGTATATAACGGTCTATAAATGTAATGCGCTAACTGTCAATATGTCAAAATCTATGCTATATAGATTACTAGCGACCCGCCCTGGCTTCGCTCGGGTGCAATGCCGATACTACGCCACGGAAACACTGAATATTGTATTTAAAAACCTTTCTCTTGAATGACTCTATCTAGATACTGTCTATAGTTTACGCGTGTAGTACACATTTAAATAAAACACTTTAACGGTTTAAAACGCGATATATTAGTTAAACTTATTTGAAAATGATTTTTAACTTCGGCCCGTGACCTCGGCTGCTGCAAAGCATCCGAAACGTCGGGCCGAAGTTAAAGATCATTTTCAAATAAGTCTAACTAATATATCGCGTTTTAAACCGTTAAAGTGTTTTATTTAAATGACTCTATCTATTAAAAACCGCATCAAAATCCGTTGCGTAGTTTTAAAGATTTAAGCGTACATAGAGACAAAAAGGCGTTTTATACATAATAATGATAAAATTTTTGTAAATTTCGTTTCCAGGGTAGAAACGTATCAAAGCGACCACACAACACTCTACTGTAAGCCACACTTCAAGCAACTTTTTGAACCGAAGCCTGTTGACGAAGAAGACGAAGTTGACGGTATTTATCGCTTTTAATTGTTATTAAGTAATTCTTGTACTTTCTTTTATTGACTGTACTCATTTTCTGAGTTTCTCGCCGTACCGTACCGCACCCTTAATAATTCCTGTACTCTCTAAGTACAGCATTGTTGAATTTTATATTAATTTGTATTTAGTGTGTATTGTAATAGATGATTTAGTAATGCAATTACATTAAGATTCAATTTAAAAATCAAACTGTTAAGAAGATTCCAACTTCAGAATCGAAAATAATTTCCTAAAAGTTGTTTTATTAAATTCGCTATGAATGTATTAAGAAACGGAGTAAACTTTAGAGGATTATATTGTTTTAAATGTACTTTTTAAACAATAAAATCGAATAGACATATGCATAACAGCAACAGTTGCATTGCAACTGTAGCCTTTGGTGTATGGCTAACGTTTATCGCTGTCCTCGCTAGATGGCGCTTCAAATTCCAGCACCGATCTAAAACGCGCAAGTCAGATCTTTTCTAAAACTTTGACTATCTGGCGTTTGGTGTGAACGGTTATCGCTTCTCGGCCTTTTGGCTAAGATCAAAGTGTAGTATCTGTTCTTTTCAGCTTAATATCTGAAAGTTCCCGCATCGCGGGACCAGTATATTAAACTGATTTTTGGAAGCTGACGGGATGCTCGGGGCTCGCTCCACTCCTGTAGCGGGTCGGCCCGGCATTGCAGTGCCGCCGGGATCGGCCTAATAAATTAAATAAGTCGACAACAACATGGTACTAATGAATCGGTCTAAGTCAAAATTAAAAGCACTATTTAGTTCCGTATAGGTTTTAGGTCTATAATAAAGTAGAAATAAAATAATCTTCGATTGCGCGGAATATGTCTTAATTTACTATTATTATATGAAGCGGTCCCTTTTTTTGTTTTTAATTCTTGTTTCTTTAAATCATATTGTACTCTTATCCTTTATTAATTTCATGTAAAAATAAATTATATAAGTTTCATTGTTTTTCAATATTTAAGACTAGCTGTGTTAACGACTTTGTCCGCGAGAATTGTTATTTTGGGCATCCAAATTCGTTTTTACAAACCCTTTCATCTTTATAAACCTAAGCTGTTATCCACGACGTAGGTCGCGACCCTTCCCGTCGTTCTTGCAAGTCGGAAACTCAAAATAATTTTCCCAAATTTTCACATTTCAAGCTGTATCTTCGCTTGTATTAGTCACAGGGCGATGTTTATAGATAGACAATTTTGTTGCAGCCGCACCAAGGAAACATCAAATGATAATTTGCGAAAGTAACCCCGTTGAACTTCCGCCAGATGTCGTTAGAGGTTTGTAACCATAATTTAGGCCAATCATAACAATTTTACATATTTAATGAGATTAATTTTTACGCTAAACATTCATAAATCTTTCTTCAGCATCAGACAAGCCAGATTTAGGTCTTGAAGAGCTCGCCACGTTAGACGTCAAGTCACGCTTTGAAGTCTTCGAAAAGAAAGCACAGCCCGAAGAACGGCCATCTCTGGAGAAACACCATCGGGAGAAGAGCACTACTCTTCTATCCAAATTGGCAAAGTAAGTTAAAAAAAAACTACTCACAGTTCCTCTGTTTCTGTCTTAGAAGGAAATGATAATTATTATAGTCCAATTAACTTCCATGATCGGTCTATAGATAGATTACTCTTCTTTGAACAGTTTTAAAAATTTAAATAATTAGTGACGAGATTGTGGCAGACATATTTCTGTGTCCGTTTCAAAATGATTTAACATTTATTGTACTCACAGAATGTTATTTTAAGTACCAACGTTGATTATGGAGTAGTCTGAATATTGAGTTTCTTTAAAAGTATTAAAAATCTCCTTATTTATTTACATTTTATTGCACAAAAAAAATGAAAAAGTATGAACGAGACTTATATACTACAAAATATGGAGTGCAATGGGCGGCCTTATCGCTGACGAGTGATCTCTTCCCGGCACCCCAAGATAAAAGGGCGAAACAAAATTTACAATCTTAAAACTATTAAAACAAAACATACATACAGTTTCTAAACTTATTGAAACTAAATTAAGAGTAATTATATTATAGTAAGAGTTCTCTATACTATAATGCAGTAATAAAGAGTTATTCTAATTTGAAGAGTGTAACCTCTCTTGAAGAGCTATAAAAATAAACTTTCTACTGTTTATACCATCAGTATAATCGAAAATAAACTTTAAGATCTCAGACATAATGATTATTTTAAAAAACCGAATCGTTTTTAAAATTCCCTAGTCCTGTGCTTTAAGGTTGATTTTTCTTTAAATTTAAGTTACAATAAATCGATCCACATGTTCTCATTTTTTATTGTTTCGCGTAGGTAGTGGATGTTGTGTTACGCAAAGTGTAAGTTCTTAAAATGAACAGTTAACATCTCTCTACCTATCTTGAAACGTGGCGTTTTTGTTTATTTAGCCCTAATTTTAAGGAGTTTAAATTGAGTTTTGTGCACATTTAAATAAAACACCTGCTTAAAACGCGAAATATATTAGTTAACTTATTTACTTTTTATTTTAATTACGGCCTGCAAGGACCCAGCTTGATTCCCTAAATATGTATTAACAACGAAATAGATAGCGCTAGTGTAGATACTCTGACATTAGGGACTTTTTTTTTCAAATTATTTTCGCTTTTTAGAATATATAGTGCCTTCATATGAAAAATATTAAAGTTTTCAATCATTGAAATTCAATTTAAATAAGTTAACTAATATAGGTATTTCGAGTTTAATCGTTAAAGTGTTTTATTTAAATCAGTTTAAAGTGATTTGCGGAATACGGCGTACGTGTGTTCTTCTGGCAAGTAATATATTTTTTATTAGATTCAAGGCAAAGGGAATGGATATAGGCGTTTCTGACGAGTATTTAAATGGCGTTGAACCGGAGACCAGTGAACATGAAGATGACGAAGGTAAGTTTCAATAAAATAATTTCATTGTATGCCAAGGAAGTTTTACTGAAATTCAGTATCTTTTTTATTTCAAAGAGTATTTGCTCACTTGTGAAAAAACATATACATTTAACAATTGCTTAGCATTGCGTCGCAAATCGCAAACGCGAGAGGTCCTCTATTCGAAGCCGGGGAAACAATAGATTCTTTCGGTCTGCCAGGCACAGGAGTCTGGTCAACTATTTGCCTGGATTTCCCTTCATTATATGCTGAAACTTGCTTTAAGCCTGTTTCGTTTATCCTTGGTTATTCTAGATGAAGACTCGGTGCTCAAAAACTCGTATAAGCACAGCGGCGGTCGGGAACAGCCAGTGTCGTTCTGCAATATGAGCGAGATCGTTGGCCGTTTTGAGAGCGGCCAACACGCCAATTCGGAGAGACATCGCGAAAGGAAACAGGAGATTCAGAATATTAGGAGTAGATTGTTTATGGTGAGTGGGTGTTATGCGGTGGGCGACATATGAGGCCGCTAGAGGCAGAGTAGCCTAACTGCAATTTTATGACTTGACTTATATGCTCATAAAAATGATAATCTACAAGAGCACAGTGACCGAAAATTGTTAACATAAATCTTACACAAATCAATTTTCGCCTAAGTTAATTGGGCAATTTTACTTTCCTTCTTATAGAAAATCATGATTCTGGTTACTAGGCCAGTCTGCCTCTAGCAGCCTTATATAATTTAGTAACAAATGCCCCTAAAACTCCAGACCTCTAAATTTAGCTCTGCATCCACAACTAGATGATAAATATTATATTTCATTAATTTAATTTTAAAAGCGCTCTGTTTATTTTTACAGGGAAAACAAGCAAAGATCAAAGAAATGTACGAACAATCGGTCATGCAAAGCGAGCAAGGTATGGGTTGGTTAGAATTAATATCTTTTGAGAATAACTTTAAGTACACTTTTGACGGTTTAAAACATGAACTACATACGGCTTTCTAATTTATTTTAGGTCGTTATAGCTGTTCAGCAGATGTTTTAAACCGTTTAAAATGTTTTACTTTTATAAGAATAACCTTATTTACAGAACGCTCTAAAATTTTATGTTATATTCTATCGTTACATCACGTTGATAAAAATTATTAAATAATTTATTTTAAACACATTATTTTCTCTTTAAGTGCTTACCTATAACGGCTCGTTGATCCAATGGTAGTAACTTATGGCTAATAATCTGGTCATGAGTTTGATTATATGTATAATACATTTTTCCTCGGAACCTTCGGATAATTCGTCTGGAAAATTTGAATTAAATGCCCGCATTTCGGTTCTAGTCTGTGAATTACCGAATATTCGAAGCCGAAATAGGTCGATAGCGCGTCTTGGTTTTATGATATTTTGAGTTTAAAAAAAACTGTTAAATATTGCAGGTGTAACATCATCAGAGAAGATTGCCAAAGAACTAGAACTAGACGCGGAAAAAGCACGTACAATTAAGGAGCGGTTTGAAAATGGCGAGGTTTTCAACGATGAGAATCAGCCCCCTAAGAACAGGGAGTTTGAAGACAGAGCTGTTTTCAACGAAGGTAAGTATCACTTCCATTAACCGTTATACGGCCATTAGATAGCTGAGACTAAATATACCATTATTGTATCTGCTTTGGGTGTAAAAGACTAGAAAAACATAGCTGGGTGCTTAGATACTGTCTGTAGTTTATGCGAGTAGTACACATTTAAATAAAACACTGTAACGGTTTAAAACGCGATACATATTAGATAAACTTATTTGAAAATTATTATAACTACAGCCCGACGTTTCGGATGTTTCGCAGCAGCCGTGGTCACAGAGACAAATAAGTAAATTTTTACTAATATATATCGCGTTTTAAACCGTTACAGTGTTTTATTTAAAAGAGTGAATCAACTTTCTGTAATTTCATATTTCTCTTGAGCGTGACGGGGTTTGCAATTCTTTAATACTATTACGAAAGAAGATGAGATGTCATGACGGCTAATTAATTTTCAGGTATCGCCAAGAAATCAAGGTCTATATTCCTGGAACTGGACGCGAACGCCAAAACAATGCCTCCGCTCTCACCACCACCACAGGAAGCACCGAAGCGAAAGGAACTTGTTAGTTTTTATTATTTTTTACGATAGAACATGAAATGATATGAATTTGGGACAGACAGTATGCGATTCACTAGATATTAGGTGTAATACCCTAAACCATATAAAATCTAAACAAAATGCGCAGTCGGCCTATATTGGTTTTGGTTTGAAAACCACATACTAAAACCGAACCGCGAATAAACTTGACGGTTTCTTCATCTGTAACGGTGGATCGTGACCCGTAAAATTATATTGGATTTTTTAAGAATCAATAAAACAATTAAAAAAAAACAATAAATTTGAATAAAATACACAGGCGAGACCGGCAATCACTTCGTTCCGTACTGCCACTCTAACCAATTGAGCCACCGTGTCAAACGTCAGCTCATCTAAATAACCAATCTATATAATGCCATCGTCAGATATAACACGTCAAAAATATTAAAGTTTTTAAACTCAAAATAGTTCTTAGATGTTTTTGTTAAGCTTTAGTTGCGTTTATCGCGCTATAACATTGTTCTTTATCCAATTAGTTCTTTCCTTTCCAGGCCTTTGTTCCGAAGGATGTCGTTCGCGCTGCCGACAAGGTAGAAGATGTGAAAATAGAGACTTCAGACATATCTGACCGTTTCAAATTCTTTGAGACGTACCAGCCGGAAACACAACGGAAGGAGTTTCGCATGACACCACCCAGGCAAACACTAGTCAGTTCGAATTTGTTAGACGTATTTACACTTTGTATTTTTCTCGTAGGTAGTTTGTGCTAGTTTCAACTATAACAGATGGCGCTTGCTTGTCTTGAATGTGACAAGAGGTGTGTTGACATCGATACCTCGTGATGATGCCACCTCTGGCGCAATGTAATTTCATCGTATTTTTTTTTCAATTTATAATCGATTTCAATTTATAGAGCGTGTGCAATGCATGTAAAAATACAATTATAAGTTTTGATAATTCATAAGCTTTGACTGAAGGTCTAAGTGTAATTTAAATAAAAAAAGCCCCATATTTTTAAACGTGAATTTGATTTATTTTTTGATGCTATTCCAGCGTCCTAAGTCACCTTCACCAGAGATCTACCACGAGCCAAGTGTTGTACGAAGTGAGGATGCCGTAGCCGACACCAACTTGGCTGCCAGCCGACAGACTGCTTCTAGAATGATCTCCGTCTTCCAAAAAATGGAAGAACAGAGGCACAAGCAGGAGGAACCACAAGGTAGAGATATCATCAGAATTCTTCTCTATTGTATCTGAATTCAAATTTCAAACAATTGTATTAATATATATAAATATATATATATGCAACATATAGATTTTTTTTATCATAGTTACAAGTCCCTTGTTTTTTGTTGGTAGATACCATATTTACAGCACATGAGTTCTTATATTTTCTTTCTTGAAAAAAATGTTTCCAATAATCGAATATGTATTCGAAATACTGTCTATCTGTCTACGCGAGTTGTACCATTTCACACTAAGGTTTAAAACCGATAGTGAAACGGAGCGAAAATTGTTTTAACTAGACCCGACATTAAGTACTTTTTATTCCAAAAAAGAGCATACTAGAAACCTAAAAGTCAATTTTTAGTTTGATGGAAATACCTCGTGGAATTTAGAAGGCGCTAAGCAATGAAGTACTTTAACTTCTTTGGCTCCTTTTAGGAATGGGAGTCGGGTAGTGAGAGTGAAGTGAGAGTGGGAGTTAGAGTAGAGTGATGTGAGGTGAGAGTGTTGCGGCATAAGTAGAACACTTCACGCGTTTAAAACGCGATAGATTGGCTGCCTTAAATGCGTCCAATTACATAAATTACTAAAATAAGCCTAAATAATTAGACATTCTACACCAAGTCACTATTCCAAGCGGACGAAGTCTCGGGCACTAGCTAGAATGTTTTTCAAACAATTTTAACTAATGTATATCGCTTTTGAAACCGCTTAAGTGCTATATTTAAATGTTTTCTATAAATTTACTTTCACAGGCCCAAAGCCGCTGAAACGTTTCACTCCTCCGCCCCCGGGGGAGCACACCCACACAGGCGACACGACATCGTCAGAGGAATACAGCGACGAAGAGGACAGTGAAGAAGAATATCGCCGCACTTGTATTGAAGCAAGACAGAGAGACGAAGCATTGCAACAGGTAAGCACCAAAAAAAAGTAAGACCAACCCCTTTTAAGACAAGTTCGATATAATTATATAGATAGAAAACGATAAGGTTCCTACAGACTAAATATGATTTAATCTATAGTAATATACTAGCTGACCCGGCAAACGTTGTCTTGCCATATAAATAATTTTACTAAAATGGGTATTAAAAAATAAGAAAAAAGAGGGGGGGAGAAGGGGGGGGGGGGGGGGGGAAAGAGAGGGAAAAAAAAAAAAAAAAAAAAAAAAAAAAAAAAAAAAAAAGAAAAAGGGGGGGGGGGGGGGGGGGGAGAAGAAAAAAAAAAAAAAAAAAAAAAAAAAAAAAAAAAAAAAAAAAAAAAAAAAGGGGGGGGGGGGGGGGGAAAGAAAAAAAAGAAAAAAAAAAAAAAAAAAAAAAAAAAAAAGGGGGGGGGGGGGGGGGGGGGGGGGGGGGGGAAAAAAAAAAAAAAAAAAAAAAAAAAAAAAAAAAAAAAAAAAAAATATATTTTGTGGGGGGGGGGGGGGGGGGGGGGGGGGGAAAAAAAAAAAAAAAAAAAAAAAAAAGGGGGGGGGGGGGGGGGGGGGGGGGGGGAGGGGGGGAAGGGAAAAAAAAAAAAGGGGGGGGGGCCGGGGGGGGGGGGGGGGGGGGGGGGGGCGGCCCCCCAAAAAAAAAAAAAAAAAAAAAAAAAAAAAAAAAAAAAAAAAGGGGGGGGGGGGGGGGGGGGGGGGGGGGGGAAAGACGGGGGGGGGGGGGGGAAAAAAAAAAAGAGAAAAAAAAGAGGGGGGGGGGGGGGGGGGGGCCCCCCCAAAAAAAAAAAAAAAAAAAAAAAAAAAAAAAGAGGGCGGGGCCCCCCCCCCCCGCGGGGGGGAAAGGGGGTTGGGGGAAAAAAAAAAAAAAGGGGGGCCCCCCCCCCGGGGGCGCCCCCCCCCCCCCCCCCCGCGCGCGCGAAAAAAAAAAGAAGGAGAGAGCCGGGGCGCGGGGTTTGGGGGGGAGAGAGGGGGAGGAAAAATAATAGAGATTTTTGTGTTTCCCCCCCCAAAAAAAAAAAAAAAAAAAAAAAAAAATTTTTTTTTAAACGGGGGGGTCCTGGAGATGGCGCGTTCAAAAAAACCCTTTAGCTCATATATTAGTATAGATTACGTTCTTTGAAATATATCGACTGTATACTCCAATTAGTACATTCGTAAAAAAACCTTAGCGTATTATCTAGATATTATGGTCACAAAGATTATTCAAACTCCTATAATTGTTTCAGGCCCAACAATTAGCCCGCACGAAGAGTTTCCGCGATCGCTTTGAGCATTGGTCAGAGAGCGAACCACAGCGTTCTCCGTCTACCCTCATCATCGAACGTGACTGTGAAGAAGATGGAGACTCACTTGCCACTGCAAAGAGGTGAGTCACTAATTCTTAAAAGTAATATGAAATTTAAATATGAGACTTAAACGGTTTAAAACGCGATATATATGAGTTCAAATTATTTTAATTACGGCTCGACGTTTCGGATGCTATGCAGCAGCCGTGGTCACGGGGAACACAGAGAATTTGATATGTAATTTACCTCTTACAGTCTCATCAAGATAATGTTCTACAATACTCTGCTTCTCAGATTACTCAGTGGAAGTATTTACAGCAGGAAGTTAGTAAAGTAAATTAAACCGTGGGGCATGGGGCAAACATATTTCTGTGTCCGTTTCACTATTGGGTTTTCAGGCATGCAGTCGGACTTCTGTGCCCAGCCCAAACGAAACAATTTACCGTTTCCCCGGCATTCGAACCTAGGACTTCCCGCGCTTAACACAATGCTATGCGGCCTATAGTCGATTAGGCTTTTGTGCCCTGACCGACTGAATTCCATTGTTTCCCCAGGATTCGAACTCAGGATTTACATTTAACGCAAAGCTACACAGCATCTTTAACTATTTAGCTACGGAGGCGGTCAGGAGTTAACTGGTCTAATGTACAATTGATTGTAATAAAATTTTCTCTCAACAGTTTACGCGAAAAATTTGAAAATATGAAGGTGCACACAACGACAGTCACAAAAACCTTCGTACCGAAGGTCAACAGATTTGTGGTATGTGTCGTTGGCTGAAAATTATAATAGAATGTGATTTTATCAAATAATTCAGTGAAGTCATGGAAGCATTGGGGGCTCACTTGATGGAAAATGTAATAACCCTGCCTTATAAAATCTCATCGAGATGCGACCTATTTTGGCTTTGAATATTCAGGAATCCACAGACTGTAGTAGGTGCGTCGGGCGGAGCTACGATATTTCTACCGATGTTTCAGAAAAATTATAAATGGATTAGAAAAAAGTAGGACTTGGTAAGGATCGAATCCACGGCCCGTTCACCATATATTGCTACCTTTTAACAAATTTAATAAAAAATAGAGAAAAAATGAAAGTTTAAATACACGTTCTTGTTTATATATATATGTACTAGCTGACCTGGCAAACGTTGTTTTGCGGAGAGGAAAAATGATTAAATTACTAAAATGGCTATTAAAAAATAAGGGTTGACGTAGAAGGGTGAAAATTGAGGATTGTATGTATTTTTGTATGTTGTATCATAAAAAAAATGGAAATTAAAAATTATGTCTAAAAAATAAAAAAATTAAGAGTGAACAACCCTTATCACTTAAGGGGATGAAAAATAGATGTTGTCCTATTCTCAGACCTACTGAATACACATATCAAATTTGGTGAAAATCGGTCGAACCGTTTCGGAGGAGTTCAAGTTCGAACACCGTGACACGAGAATTTTATATATTAGATGTACTTATGGATGAGTATTTAATATTGATTAAAAAGATTATCTGTTTTACAGTGACCGTCGCACCCGTTCGTGAATTTAAACCAAAGCCCTCTGTCAACCAGACTACACCGTGTGAAAGAGATTTATAATTTGAACATATCATTTATCATATATGTTGTAGGCGCATCTTGAACCAACAAATGCCTTTACCCAGTGGCGGTCTGTGTTGTATAATTTTAATATAAAATGTAAGCTTAATTTTACTGAAAGAGAATATTTCTGTGTATCTAATATCATATTTTATAAGCGTCTTTGTTTATAACTGGCTTTATAGTCGTTTTAATGACTGATTGCGCCTTTTCTTGTCTTCGGTTCAATTTGTTTTGAACAAGTTACTTATGTGCCATTCAAGCATCAACGTTACGTAACGTAACGATTACACATATAAGTCATTAAAATTTTAACTAGAAAACCTTCTCGGGGGCGGAATACGGCTATAATATAGAATTTAAATAAAACACTATAACGGTTTAATTTTGATATATTAGTTAAACTTATTTGAAAATGATTTTTAACTTCGGCCCGACGTTTCGGATGCTTTGCAGCAGCCGTGGTCACGGGGAGACTGCTCACCACGGCTGCTGACAAATGAAAATAAGATTTAAAAGGATTAAAAAAATACTTGTTTGTAACTATGAATATCTTAAAGAAACAGTTCGCATTCTCCTAGTACATAGACTTAATTTATTATAGTAACGTATTATTTGACTTTTGTGACGTTTTAAAACCCGTCTGAATTCTTATTTATATTACTTACGAACCATCTCATATCAATTTAATACTCCCAACTACATTATATATTTTAGGTGTTATATACTTAATAAAATTTTCAAGTCATTGTGTAAAATACATTTTGTAAGATTTTTTAAAATAAAGCTTTGAAAGTTAATGTATAGTTATTTATTTCGCAACTGGCCTAAATGGTAAACAAACATGGCTTCCTAAAACCCAGTGGTAAAAATCTCACGAAAAGCTGACATTTTTAATGTAATTTATGTTCAAAACCTACAATTGCTTAAAAGTATATGATGTGCTCTACAAAAAGAAACGTCTTATAATACAGAACATTAGATCTAAGATAACACACAACACAGGTAGGCTTTTTAATTAATGAAAATTTTAAATAAAACGGCAACACATCTATCATAAATCTATTTATTATTTTCAAAAAATATATATACGAGAAACAATAAATAATCATTTAACGTAAAAACGTTATAATAATAATCACATTAGTGTGATAGGGGTGGGGGGGGATTGGGTGTGTGTTTGTAATTAACATTGAGTTAGTTTAGAACAATAAAATTTGGATCTAAACGTTCATACGTAAACGTACGTAAAATTTAAGTATTTATTATGTCAATACCAAAGCCCCTGATAAATAATATGTAATATGACATTATAATTTGAATATTAAATAACAAATTGATTAAAGAATATATATACATTAAAGGATTTTTTCTCATTCCCTAATAGAAGACATGAGTATATTTCTTTTTAAATACCGTAGAAGAAGTACTGTATGCGTCTTTAACCATATGCAATTTCAGATATGAAACAATTTTAACGGTTTAAACACGGAAATGTCAATTTTAGACTAAGACCTGATGTTTCAGATGCTTTGCATACGTGGTCTTTACATTCATAATCCGTTATGTCATTTATTTAATTGCATGTAATACTAAATCATTTAGTAGAATTAAGCTTCACAACAGTTAATAATCTTGCGCAAATCACAAATATTGAGACGGAAATCAACAAACACACGAAAATATGCGGGTAGTTTTAACTTCCACAAATATGAGGGTACTTTGTCAAGTACTAACGGTTTTAATACATCATGTATTATTTCACGTGGGCATTGATAAGAGAGCTATTGTATTTGTATCAGTTTAGGATTTAAAATGAAGAAGTGAACTTAAAGGTACTGGGTATAAGTAGATCTTAGAGAGGGGGATTGTGGGGGGGGCGTAAAGAAGGCCAGTATCTGTATGATTCTTTTCACTGGCAAGCTGAATTATCACCTACAACATACGTCTTTTATTCAGTGTAATACTATACGGAGAGAACTTATGTGTATTTTCCCTAGCAAACTTTAACGCAATAAATAAATTATTAAAAATCACAAAAAAACGTAAGTTTAACTCTTAGCTTAGAATAATCTAAGTGCAATCGTCAGAATTATGCGTGAATATCTTTAACTTCGTCTTAGAATTTATTTATTATATTATCGTCTTCATTTAAAACTCTTTAAATCACATTCATAACGCAGTTTTAGAAATTAGAAATAAATCAATAATTTCACATACAATATTCAAATATATAGATATGTACAATATGCGGGTTAGCGTTGGTATCACCCAAACTGGTTAGGAGCCGTTAAAGTTTTACATAAGCACGTTTTTTGGGGGGGGGAGGGGACCGGTGATTTGTGATGGTCTAGAATCAATAATATATTTAATAATCAATATTAATAGTCTATTCCAATCTCTAGAATTTATAATAAATGGATTAGGTGTTAGAGGTGGGGGGGGGGGGGGGGGTTGATCTAAAGGAAAAGCTTTTGTAACACTTTAACAGCCCCTTGAAAATTGAATATATTTCAATATAAATTGATTTTGGTAAATAATACAACAAAAATGATAGTCTGTTAATAGCACAACTGATGTCAAACAGTAGAGTCAACATTTGAGCATTTCGGTGAGTCTAAAACTGCGCCCAACCATATACCGCTTAGCCTCTGAGAGACACCTTAACTTATATGTACAAATACACTATCAATGAGTTCTGAATGTTACGGTAAAGTTTGAGATCGAATACTTGATAATGGGTAGAATAGACGTGCGATGAAAAACTATTCGAAATGTTACTATTTTTTACATTGGGACACTGTATATTAACAACATTGTTATGTTAAAATATAACATAGCACGGGCATGGAAGCCGCGACTTAATATTAATATTGGAGTTTTTCTTTAATAAATTCTCGCAGTCTCGTCGAAGATACATTAAATTGTAGCATGTCTATTCCAAAATAATAAATGACAAAGTTATCAAAACGTTTAAAATTTGGCCCCAGTCAGTGACAAATGAAATGCCCCTTATTTCAAAGTCAAGTTTAAAACACCTTACCGTTACATTCAAACACTAATCCACTTAGTCCGGTGGCCGATGAACTACCTGCGGTAACTTATCACTGTCACAACTCTCAACACTCTTCGTCTCTTTCACACACACAGATTTCTCGTCTGTAACGTTTCTTGTCTCGTTCACAATGACCGGTTTATCTTTTACACTGTCAGATCTTTCAGAGTTCTTAACTTCCTTGACACAATTAGAGTCCACTTTCTCTTTTGTGCTCTGAGAACTTTTTGTATCAAGGCGATCCTTGTTCCCATCTCTATGTTTCTCGTGTTTCCTGTCAGAACTTCTGTGCCTGTGTTCTCTTTCTCTTCTATCAGATTTATGAGACTTATGTTTTGAATGTCTTCTATGATGATCGTGTGATTTGTCAGAACGGTCTGATTTTTCGGTCCGGCTATCGGATTTTTCCACTCTACTATCAGGTTTATCACTCTTATCTTTCTCAGATCGACTTTCATTTCTATCTGTCTTCTCTGACCTACTTTCGTGTTTATCTCTTCTATCAGATCGTGGCTTATCTTTATCTGAAGGTCTATCCGATTTATTTTCCTTCTCCAATCGACCATCCATCTTATCTGAACTTTTAATATCGGCTTTATCAATTGTCGCTTCTTTGTTTACTTCAAGTTTATTAGGTGTCTTTTCTGCATCTAGTCTTAATTCTGGTTTTATAATATACGTGTTTACCCCTAAACTTGTCTGTTCAGTTTTTTCTTCTAGAACCTTCTTTTCTGGAGTTTTCATGTCAACATTTTCGTATTTCAATTCAAGCTTTTCCTTTTCTGTAACTCCGCTTAATCTCTCCGGTCGGTCTGTTGAGCGATGTGATTTCTCCGATCTATGTTTATCTGAGTCTTTGTGCCTGTGGGTGTGCCTGTCTTTCTGTTCACTCTTATCTGATCTTTCGTGCTTCTCGGACCGCCTCTCATTTTTGTCCTTGTCCAAACTTTTTCGGTCTGTCGCTATTTTCATAGCTGATTTCTCCTTAAACTTGGAACTGAGAGCACGCATTTCTATAACGCCGCTTTTGTGTTTTGATGTTTTAGGATCTGGAAATTTCAATATAATATTTTAGAGAGAATAAGATAGTAATCAAATTAAACTCTTAAATGTACTAAGAACAAATAATATAATCCTTTATGTATCGATTACAAAATCTTTCGTCTATTATTAAAACCCACTTAATTATATTTTCTAATAACTAACCTGCGTTATTAACGACGGGTGCATCAGGTGGCAATCTTTCATCAGCCGGCGAAGAGGCTTCAGATGATGGGTAATACTGCTTCAGGCGTAAGTGCCATGCTAAAAAGAAACATTTCGTTAATCATATTTTTGATAACAGACAGACATACGAATGAATTTGTTTCTTCTGGTTCATGCCACGTTAATACGTATTATTATTAATACTAATTATTGTCTGTAGTAATATAGCTATCTCGTACTCTTGTATTACAATTTTATTTTTTGTCTATATATGTTTCCTTTATTTTTATTATTTTACCATTAACAGAAAAAAGAAGGGGGTTTGAAGGGGACATAGAGACATGAGAGCTGGATAACTCAGTCTCTCTGTATGAGGTATATAGATTAATTGCGAACCTGCTTTCGGTTACCCCAATAGAAAAAAAAGGTATTATGTATGTGCGCTTAAATTAACTCACCGATCGACGTAACAGCAGAGACCGTTCTGAACTGATGTATGATGTTTCTGGGCAAAAAGTAAATGTCGTCCGAGCAGAGAGGTAAACGGGAGTACCGTACCCCTTCGCGTCGAAGCTGATTCAACTTTGCCTCCTCCAGCCTGGAAAACATTTGAGCCACATTAATTTGGACATGTGTGTATATTGTAGTTTAAATATGAAAGTGTGCGATGCGGTAGCTCAATTGGTTAGAGCAATAGGTCGAAACGATGTGGATTCCGGTGCTAGTCCAGCCCGTGTCGTAAAATCTTTTCAATAATTAAATAATAAAGTATTTTGAATCTCATTTTTACTAAAGATTCGTATTTCCATAGAGGTTGATATTTTGAGTTTGGCTTCTCGATATTATTTACTAGGGCACGGTGACTGAAAATACTAGATAGAATAGTTTCTCTAGATTCGAACCGAGTACCTTCCAAGCTTATCGCAATACGTTGAACCATCGAGCATTGGAGAAGGTTACATTGAAACATCTAATTTAAATGGGAACATCGAAATTCCGTCCGAATTGCGAACCATCGCTCACAGATGAAAAAGTCGCAGTTTAATCGCTTCGGTTCCAGTCTATGATATTCGGACAGCGTGTGTAAGATTCGTTTAGATGTTATATAGCTAGAGTATTTCATCATGTTTGTTTGTCATCCTCTATATTAAAAACAAATGTTGAGCCCTGTTCACTTACCAAGTGACACATTGCGAGATTGGTGGCTCGTACAAGTCAAGCTGCAGCAACTGCACCAGCTTGTTGAAGTCAGCTGCATGGAAGGCCACGACATCCTTCGTTATCCTGCCCCGGTCCTGCTCGTCGCCGCAGTGTATCGCTTTTAGGACACCTGTAACAAATATAACTGTTAGGCATTGTCTGTAGTTAACATGCGATGAAAAAACACGGTTTAAAACGCGAAATTCACAAATTGAGTAGATATAACGATTTTTTAGGATGCTGCTCAGCAGCCGGGTCGAATTAAAAATAAGTTGCGATTAAAAATAACGATATATTTATTAAGTGCGTAAGGGAACTTGCAACAAAAACTTGGCGATAAGAGGCGTGGCAGCGAGTTTATTGCCGGTTCTTCTCGCTCGTTCTAAGGCCTAGATTTGAGAACTGTTAGTAACTGTACATTTAGACTTTTTAGTTATATAGACGTTCGAAAGTGTGTAAAGATATTTTCTTATGTTCATTTCGCGTTTTAATTTGTTAAAAGTGTTATCACAAGTTATACGAAGTAAAGTAACGTAACATACAATTTATGATTCTTCGAACTTGAATAGTCTTTTATTAACATTTAATATTATTGTGCGTATCTTACGTTTAAGAGCTAAGACCCACCACGCTGCTAAAGGTCGAAATTAACGCATTAGACGATAATAGTTGTAAATTAAAAAAGGATTTTAGCTTTTAAAAAAACCAGTGCCCTGTGAGACACGGTATCTTAATTGGTTAGAGAAGCTCGGAACGCTGTGGATATCGGTTCGCAAGTCGGAAGTCGTAACAATTTTTGATACAAAATCGATTTTCAATTTACATTACGCTATCATGTGCCACGTGAAAAATATTAACGTTTTCAAATGTTAGAATTACATTTAACTACATAATTATTTAACAAATGTAATAATTAATTACATTTGTCGGATGAGCTAGTTATACTGACCAACTGCGGCGGTAGTGATGCGGTCCAGACCGTGCCCCACGTGGTCTGCGTGCGCGCGGGTGCGGTCTTCGAAGAGGAACTCGCGCGCCTCGCTGTAGCGCGGCAAATACTGTAGGTTTCGTAGCTCGTTGATACCCGTCCTGTAAAGAATATTTATATGTTAATACGTTTATATAAAGTCGATGTTATTTTTTGAGAGACCAACAAGTATGTCCTTCACTTGATGCAAGATTAAATATTCAACAAATAATGAATAATAGCCTATTTACTTTAACTTTTTAATGGTGAATGATATTTTTAATTAGCACTGTAACTTTTTAAATTTCTTCAGTACAAATATTTATACACGCACACTAATTATGATAAACTATTATCATAATTAGTGTGTGTGTATAAATATATAATATTTTATGAATTACTTTCGCAGCCAAAAGAGAAGTTAGTATTCTCTAACAGATATTATAGATATCGTAATCCTACATATTATGTCTTTTTCATCTTTTGACGTTTGTTAATATGTATTTCTTTAGTCAATCAGTGATTTAATTTGCTGATTCACAGATGTATACTCAAATATAGTACATATTTTCATGAAATGATTTTTGCATATTGATTCTCACCGTCTCTTCTTGATGGGGCTCTTTCCTAGCTCTGCAGTGGGTACAAGTTGTTCTCCAGGGCGGATCCATAGAATTGGACCATCGTTGGATTCCGTGGGTTCCATTTCAACAGCGGCCATAGGACCCCACGGCATTGTCTGTAAGTATAAAATGGTTCATAATCACAAAACAATAGTCCGTAAAAACGACTGTATACTTATTTTTTTTTTCACTAGCTTAATCTATACTAATATATAAAGCTGAAGAATTTGTTTGTTTGTACGCGCTAAACTCCGAAACTACTGATTCAAATAGAATATTATTTTAGTGTTGGTGAGAGCATTTATAGAGGAAGGTTTTAGTCTATATAATATCGTCACGACTGCAACACATTGGAGCGAAGGAAGAACCGTTAGTGTTTTTATTTAAATATTCGATTGCCGATTTGTATATCAGATCAGGCCTAAGATGTATGGTATGTATTTATAACTTACCAAATTCAAGAATGGACATTCCCCCAGCATTTCCAGCATATCCGGGAAGTATCCGCCTACTTCCTCGTGGACGGTACCAACTAGGGATATTTGGTGTAGGGGACCACTGCGGAACGTGCCCGCTAGGTATGTTTGTTGCACCTGTAAAAACGAAAGTTTGAGTAGACTTCAAATGTAGCATATACCAAAACAAAGCAATTACTTTTTATTATTATTAGTTTTTTTACTTTCACGAATCCATCACCAACCCCTATTTTTTTATATTTGTTTTATTACTTTAATCCAAAGCCAAAAAGGTCGCAGTGCATTTTTTAGATGCTGTATGATGTCACCTACTACCAAGCGTAACCCTATGCCTATTTGCATGAATGTCTATTTATCCCCCCATTCTACGGTGTCAAATCTCGCTCAGTAAAAGGCACGGAGTACGGATGAGACCGGAGGCGGTTTTACCAGTTTTCACATTAAAACATTCCTAATGTTTATTTATATGGCAATACCGCGTTTGCCGGTTTAGCTAGTAATATTCAAATTCAAAACATTTAATTGTCCTTTCGACACACAAATAGTTATAAGAATGTTTGTTACACTCAGCAGCGCTGGTTTTCAAACTGGCCTGGGTATAGTATATATGTAGTAAAAGAGTCAAGTTTATACGATGATTTTACATCATCTATACTAATATATAAAGCTGAAAAGTTTGTTTCAACGTGTTAATCTCAGGAACGGGAGTTCGAAGTGAAAAAAAATCTTTTTGTGGTGGTTAGAGCACTTATCGAGGTATAAAAGGATACAAGTGAAGAAACAGTGGGAATTGTAGAAAAAACGGAAAAAAATAGTCATATTTCTGGATTTCCGATACGTACGCTGCGAAAACGGTTCAGACACCCCGAAAATATGTATGATAGAATGATTCCTCTTTAAACGATCTAAAAAAAGGCCGCGGCACTGTATATCTATCTTTTAAGATTAACTTACACGAACGACGAGACGCGGATAAAGTCGCAGGTTAAAGCTTAAATTTAGTTAAACAGGAGGTTTGCAAAAACAAACTCGATGGCCAAAATAACTATTCTACGCGGACCAAGTCACTGGCACAGCTAGTAAAGTTATAAAACGATGGATAATAACATCAAAACATACACACTCATAGTCATACGCTTTCGTTAAAACCGATTTAGACATCTTCTGTCCAAGGAGGTCCGGTTTTACATGTACACGATATAGATATAAGTCATACCTGTTGATAGTATCTGCTGATAGTAGTCGTTTCTATATCCGACGCACGCGCCAGCACCCCCGCCTTGACGGTCAGCGTCGGGTACTTCTCCGACAGACACTTGAGGAGACAGGGGAGTCTACCGGCAGCGCCTCGTACCACGCCGCAGACGAAGTTCGCCCAACCATCACTGTTCTCCGAGAAGACCAGCTGAAAAGAATAGGAAACTTTATTAGTAGTAGTTAGGATAGAAGTACACTTAAAGTGAAATAACCTACAGACAAGAAGTGGCGGCGTCCAGCTATGTATTGACTATTCCTACCAAAAAAGGTTTTAAAATCGTTTTTATTTTACTTTTTCTCGATATTACTGGCGAGCTGTCCCATTGCATATTTAGCAGGATTTTCGACATATCCAATAACACGTGACCGCCTCTGTAGCTAATTGGTTAAACGTATTGCCTAGCATTGCATTAAGCGCGAGAGGATCTGGGTTCAAATCTCAGGGCAACATAAAATTGTTTCGGTCGGGCAGGGCACCGAAGTCTGATCAACTACTTGCCCGTTAAAAGAACGGATCGGTGAAACGGATACGAAATGTCATTCGCCCCAGGGGGCCCCCGGGGGGGAAACGGGATTTCACACTACACATTCGTATAAATATTTAAGTTTGAGTTACCTTGAGAAACTCCTTCGCAAGAGCCTCTTGCTGAGTAGGCCCGAGCATGTCTACATCGTTTTGATGTAAATATACAACACTAGCGCCACCATTTGGGTGCGTTTCTACTCGCATCAACCTAGAAACATTATGGAGTGATTAGATACAAGGATAAGAAGAAAAATATATGCACCTGTAAAAAACAGTAGTAACTGGTTACTATTTTAAGGGGTATAGATTAATTACATAAATTGGTAATAAACATGAATGTTTTATATATGTTTACGGGAAAAAAAAAAAAAAAAAAAAAAAAAAAAACGGAAAAAAAGGGGGAAAAAAAGAAAAATCTTTTTTGAAAAAAATTTTTAACTTCGGCCCGACGTTTGGATGCTTTACAGCACCGGTTAGTCACGGGGAAAGGGGGGGGGGGGAGGAAAAAAATTTTTTAAAAAAAATTTAAAAAAAATATCGCGTTTTAAACCGTTAAAGTGTTTTATTTAAACATGAATGTTTTATATATAAACAGAGAAAAGAGAAAAAAAAATAAGTTAAAAAAAACGACACAGGCAAGACTAGAGCCACAGCATTCCGTGCTGTTGCTCTAACCAATTTAGCTACAGTGTCAAAGCTTTTCAATTGATTTTTTATTTATCCACCATGTGTAAAGAAGTACTAAATTATTATAACAAGTAGATTGATACACAACTTTAACTAGGATCGGGCAATTATTATAGGTTTCTTTACGTAGGGTGGTGAGAAGGATGATTTTAAATTGTTTTTTGCAACATTACGTGTTATTGTGGCGGAATAGTATTCCATACCTTAAACACTTACTTAAAGAAACCACACAGCAAAAACCGGAGTGGAATCATATAAGACATATAATGTTAAATATTGGAATAATAGCTCACCGATGATACTTCAACTCCTTAAGATCCAACGATGAGGCAAGAGGACCCCAAGTGGGAGCTGTTCGTTCACGGCGGCACTGGACGCCTATAGAACATCGCTTCACTCTTGCTCTGCGACGGCATTGCTGGCACGAGTGGCGTGATGAATGGGACCTGAAGCAGGATAAGAGTTTTGTAAGGGCAAAGCTTTTTTTAAAGGATAGAGATGGACAGACAGGCCTGGGCTTTACTAGTTGGCACATAATTTCACCTTCATTGTTCTAGCAATATAATATGGTCCCAAAACCCAGACTAATAGCAATTGACAGCTTACATTTAACCTCACGTTGGTCTAATGGTGTCAATTTATCTATAATACTCAACCACTTGTGGCTTTGATGTCCTGTTTCTAATAAATTTATTTTACTAAAACTTGTTCATCTAGTAATTTGGATATTAAATTAATGGTATCGAAAATTCCATCCGCGCCACAGGCCATCGTCCACGGATGAAACAGCCGTGGAGTTTAATCGAGTTTCGATTTCAGTCTGGGGATTTGCGAATATCTAAAGCAAAAATAAGTTGACAACAGATCTTATCAATCTTCTCAATCAAAAACGCTTAGATAGTTAAATAGAAAATGATTTTTTATTTTGGGCCCCCACTCGGGGGGTTTGGGGCCCCCGGGGGGGGGGGGGGGGGGGTTTAAAACCTTTTAAACCCCGGGAAGGCCCGTTTTAAACCCGTAAAGGGTTTTTTTTAAAAGGAAACTACCCGCGGAAACTATAGGCAGGATTTAATCTCCTCTATCCAAACAACGCTTAGATAGTTAAATAGGAATTTTTAAAAGGATTTATTTACCTGTCCTTCTCTCTATCACGGTCTCTGTCTCTTTCTTTATCTCTCTCCACTTTCACCTTAACATCATTCTGGACTTTATCCACTTCCATTTTAACTCTATTAATACCGTAGATCTGTGGAGATGTCGCCCTTTCCTGCTTAATTTTCAAAGGTAGCTCCAAGTTCCCATAGCACGGCAGCTCTCGTCTTGGTGCTTGGAACTTTATAGCTTTGAGAGACAAGTTAAAATGTGTCGACAGCCTTCTAGAACTTGTTCCTTCTAAGAGGACATTGGCTCTCGTGACTTTTGGGTACTTATACTTGAACATAGCATGTTGGAAGTGAGCATTGATGATCCGCAGCTGGCGTGACACTGAGGAGTATATCTTCTTCGTCAAATCATCATCAGGTATTGTATTTGAGAGTTGCGTATGCTTCCATGAAGCGTTGATGCCTCCAACATAATCAAGTAAGGGTTCCGTAATGTTTAAGTCATTGTTGTTAAATAGCAGTGGGTTTTTCACTGGTGGTGCTTTCTGTAGTATGTGCATGGTGAGAATGGAAGTATCCCCGAATCCTCCAGAGTCAAATACTGGCCAAATCTTGCTGAGTTTAGCGGGGCGAGTATTTTCACCCCAGACACTAAGTTCTTTGGAACCGGTGCTGTGCTTACGTTTTCTCTCTGTAAATATAAAACTTATGATTTTTAACTTGTCTGATATTCAAAAATCAAAAAGCGAAATGATGGGTGAAATGGTTACCAGATAATGTGTGTGAAATACCGTTTCCCCCTCAGGTGGGGGGATCATGGAGCATTTCTGTGTCCATTTCACTGATCTGTTATTTAATAGGCAAGTAGTTGATCAGACTTCTATGCCCTGCCTGACCGATACATTTTTTTGTTTCCCTGGGATTCGAACCCAGAACCTCTCGCAATGCTAGACAATATGTTCAACTATTTGGCTACAGAGGCGGTCTTCTAGATAATGTGGGCTATCAATATTTGTTTCACCTTCAAAGACAATATTAAAGTTGAAACAAATGAGTTTTTGCAAGAAAACCAGAAGGTTGAGATATTGATGGTTCAACCAGAAGGTGGAAGAGACTAGTCAACCACAACACAGGCTTGCGTGAAATAGGAACACTCTATCAGCACCATGCAGGTGGAAACATAATAAAGACTTTTGATTTATTTTGACAGGGACAGTTAAAGTTGAATAACCCACTGTCTTGATAATGTTGATTCTTAACCTAGACTTTAAGAATGCTGCCAAAAAAATTTTATAATATTTTACTAATGCTAAGATGACTTTCACTTTGTAAATTAGGATTTTCTTGTTTTTATAGGTAAGCTAACGCTATAGAATGTTATTAGGTTATAAAGTCTTATACTATAACACCGTAGACGTAAGGATGTATAATTATTATTTTCTATTGGAGACAGTGTAGAAGACGGGTGATCAGTCTCCACATTGAGTTGCCTTCATACCTTCTGTTTTCCTTGTGAAATCTTTTATTTTTTGCTTTAATTACCTTTTGGGGTTTCCATGTGTTTGCCTTAATTTTGAGTACACATAGCATTCAGTGAATAGATGGTTACTATGTTGTTGTTTAAGGATCTATGATAATGCAAGTGTTTTAGATATTTGTATTGTAAATTGTTTTTTCAATATGTACTTTGTTAATTAATTGCATAAGTTTTAAGTTATTTATTAGCTTAAGTGCTACCACATATTCCTTTGCTGCAGATATGGTGTCTGTGGCAAAGGAATATGTGGAAATCTTGTTAGAAAGAAGAAGTGTTTTATTTTAATGTATGCATTAACTATAAACAATACTGTCTAAATTGTATGTGTACATATATGAGTGGAATTAAATATAAGATATATTGAATATTCTACGGATTGTAGGGATTTTTACAAGAGAGCATATAGAGTGATGGTTTGTTACCCATGACCATAAAAGCTAACAGTGACAAAATCTCAGTGATAAAGGTCGATAAGTACTGTTATTCTGTTACTATGTGAAAACATTTTGGACAATTCCCTTATGCTACACAAGGATCAATCTAGAGAGAAATGTTTATTTAAACACTTAAATGAAGTATCTAAGTTCACAGAACACGAACAGAGAATAGATCTAAAAAATTTGAGCACAATTAGTGTGAAATAGGAAATAGAAAGTAGATTCAACCAACAAGGTCAGTGTTGCAACTTCAGCATCACCAGACATGAAGATCTACTGTAACTTATGAAGTATAAGCAAATGTCAAGTTATAAAACGTTCGTATCTGCTAAAAACTTTACAAATGTGCTCGAAATGTTTATAAACAGCAGTGACCTCCATTTAATGATGTAATATGGTATAGGTTAAAGTTTTCCCACCAAAACGTGAAAAAGGTCACGGGGATAGCTTCGAGATAAATTAAATTATTGAGTATTTTAGTCAACAATGAATATAAGATAAGCTATTTGTACCTTTGAAATCTCTTGTTGTTGCGTGTTGCATATCAGTTGACATACTTGCATCGTTTGCCAATTTCGTCTGTTTTCGGCAGCCGTGACTCACGCGACGGCGCTTGATACCTTCACCGGCGTCTAACTCAGCATTTTCACCGTTACGGTACACACTGAAGGCGTGATTTTCACTCACTTTTGCATGAGATTGTAAAGATTCCTTCGACGCCATTGTTATTCGCAAAGCGGTGAAGTGTCGACGAAATAAACACACTAGTATAAAGTCACATCGGCATAAATAATCAAATGTATGTAACTTGAAAGTTTAACGTTAAAAGGCTTTGCAGCCGATTAAAACACATTTTTGTTTTCTATAAAACAAATTGAGACGCCATTTACTTAGCAATTCGCTGCCTCAGACTTTTTTTATTTAATTTACTTGACCTGGAACATAGTCTATTGGCCCGCCCGTCTTGCAAAATTGCCACAATTAAAAAAAGTTTCCTCTACAAATATAAAATTACTATATATACATCTGTTTGCCAATACCTTTTCCATATTAAACATATTTTAGGTAACAATACATTATTTGATTTATTTAACTAAGAAAATCTTTTGGGACCTTCAAGAACCAATGACATTGATTCAAATGTCAACGTTGACAATGTCAACTGCATTAAAATGTATACTTTTATATCTCATGTGTGTCAGTGTATAAAAATAATTACAATTTAATGTTTTTTTTTAAGAGAAAGGTGTCCGTATTATAGTTAAATGAGTTTAGCGCCATCTATGTAAAATATTATCATTATCTCAATTATATAAAATTAGTTAATGCTTACGTCTGTTAATAGGTGGCGCAAAATGTCAATATTTATTTCGTACTTGTCTAATGTGTATTAGGACTTCATATTTATTATTTTTAAAAGGAAAATATTATAATTAATTCCATTCTTTTTTTATGAAAGTGTCTGCAAGAAAATGCCTACATCTAAAACTAGGCATTTCATTATATTATGTAAATTTTCTCGTTATTAAAAAGTTTCTTAGTTAAATATTTGAATGATTATTAAAAGGCTATTTTTAATATTATATTGTTTAAAGTTGTATTTGCTATGTCACTTCGGAGTTTGTACAGTAAATTTGTTAAAAGTTACACGTGTGCGATTTTAGGAGTATTATAAATTAGCAGGGACGTATTTAGATGATGTAAAAAAAGAAGCCCGGGCAATCTCTCGTTAGTAGCTATTAGTAGTTAAGATGTTATTTTATTCCTGAATTTCAAATGTATAAAGTTAAGTAGGGATATGAAAAAAAATTAATAATATACAAAAAAATACTTAAAAAATGTTCTTTCTTCACGAGTAGTTTGGCAGGTGGCAATTAGTTTTCAATTTATAATACAGTAGAACCTTGATAAGTCAACCTCGAAAGTCAAAACCCTCTACATCACGAAAAAAAAAATTGTGTTCCCTTCCTTTCAAACACCAAAACCACCATTATTCGAAATCTCAGCCCTCTATTAGTCGAAATAATCAGTTAGTCCCTCCCGCCAATTCGATACATAGGTAAAAATATTTTTACTTCTGTATCTCGAAAATAGCAACGTCCTATTTTACAACCTTAACAACTCTTTTATTTAAGACGAATTACATCTATAATTCGAATACAAATAAGTTACCGACTTTAAGAATTAGCAATGAATAAATAGGATTACTACGAATTTATGACATTAACACGTACTTATTTGCTTGCTTGATGTCAAGTGTTTCATTTTATTAGTTTTGATTTCATTTTAATGCAAGTTTTATTTTCAAGTTAATGTTTCAGAAGTAATTTGGTTCTACTGCAATACATATCAATTTGTACATAGTTTACATATATTGTTGGAAAATGAGTGCTGTGAAACGTAAGCTGAAAACTTTGAGTCTTGTTAAAAACTATAAGTGCTTGAAGCTGTGAAGAGCTGTCAAAAGAAGAAAGATTTGCCGAACAATTTGCCTGCCATGAGTACTATCAACAATAATAAATCGTTAATAATAATCGGTGTCCAATTGAGGCAAGAACCCATTGAATACTTTAGAACTTTTATTGAGCAAACAAACTCTGAAGAATAAAAATTTTCTCCCTTATACTAGACGATTCTATAGATAGAGAATAACCGAACCGAATTTGTTTTTTTTTATTTATTTTACCTCTCTTACTCAACATTTATAGAAATGAATCTCAACCTCTTTATGTCGAATCAAAATCCCCTTAGTCGAAATTCTCTCTAAGTCGAAAACTTTATAACTCGATTTTTTTGGCGTCTCCCTTGATTTTCAAATACTCGAGGTTCTACTGTATATCTTTAATAACATGTGTTTCATATTTAAGCATAGACTTTAGTTATACATATATTATATGATATAGACAAATTCACGTCTTAAACCGACATTACATTTACCTTTTAAAAACTTTAACTTAATGTGAAAAGTTTTATTATTATTACGTGTTTTAACTACTAACAAAGAGAATTGAAGTATAGATCTACTTTAAGATCTCTTTGTTTTCAACTTTGACTGATATTAGGGCCCCAACTACGGGGCCTCATTATAAATCGTGCGATAACCAGGCATAAGCGTAAAAACAATAGGCATATCAACACGTAAAGCATTGAATGATTCGTGAAACATGGCGTCCGCAAGCGTTTGACAATTGTAAATAGATTTATGGGGTACTTATATAAATATTACTATTTATATAGCAATGATGTGCCTGTGCTTTAAATTAAAACAAACGAATATCTACAATCACGCGCTTTACATAAATTGAAATTAAACATTTTTAACGGGTTAAAATTCGAAATACATAGTCTTAGATGACGTATATGGTGATGCATATGAAAATATAATAATAGTAAGTAGTTATATGAGTAGTAATAGTAATATAATAGTAGATTTTTCGGTGGTCATAAAGTCATAGAAAGCTTTCAGATTATTGTGTCTTTCTGCAGAATCTGTAGGAATAATTAACGGCCTTTTAGGTGGTAATTGTTCATTTTTAATTTATAACATACATATTTTAAAACATTAAATCGTCTCAACTTATGAAAACTTTAATATTTTTTACATGTTATTGCAGATGAAGGCACTATATAATTTTAAAATCGAAAATAAAATGAAAAAAATATTTCGACTCGGGCGGGACTTGAACGGGCATCGTTAGCGTTCCGTGCGGTTGCTCTACCAACTTACTAGACTTGACTCGGTAGCTCAATCGGTAGACCAATATGGTTTAATACTATGTACTACATAATGATATCGTATTACGTAATTTGCTTTTGATTAGAACACGAGTAACGAAGCTAACAAAATGGAGGCTGTTTTATATGCAACACCAAACCAGCAGTGACCCTGAACAATTTGCGAATTTTTTGCTTATTTATTTTCTAGGCGTGCGTTTAGGTAGCCGTCTGTAATAACCAAATAGGAGTTTGCAAAAACTAATTATACTATTTTATTCATTTATTTGCTAAGATTACAGAACAAATTTGATAGAATAACAGGAAGAAGAAGTAATTTACTAAATACTGTCTATAGTTTACGCGAGTAGTACACATTTAAATAAAACACTTTAGGTTTAGAACGCGATATATTAGTTAAACTTATTTGAAACGTCGGGCCGAAGTTAAAAATCATTTTCAAATAAGTTTAACTAATGTATCGCGTTTTAAACAGTTAAAGTGTTTTATTTAAAATTAATTTACTTCTAATTAGCAACGGCTTGTGGGTTTGATCCCCACCAGCTCCATAATGCTAATCCATATATTTTTTGTAACATTTTAAACTTGTCTGGAAGTATTGAAATGGGTGGTAGAAATATCAAAATTCCACACATGTAAAGTTTAATAGCGTTTCGATTTCAGTCTGTCGTTTTCCGAATATCCAAAGCCAAAATAATTCGTTAGGACATCTTGTGCAGATGTTATATGGCTGGGGAATTCCATCTACCATGAAGTTTCTCCAACTGCATGCTTGTTTTTTTTATTATAGAGAAGGATAGCCCTATAACATCTAAACAAGATATGCTAACGACTTATATGGGCATTGGATATTCGGAAATCCACAGACTGAAAATGAAACGCGATTAAACTTGACGGATTTTTCATCTGTGGATCTGTCTTTTGTATTGTCTGTCCTCCTCTATAAAAAAAAGTAAAGCAAAATATTTAAAGAAATACTTGAATTAATAATCTATGTATACTTAGGTACGTAGACCACAGCCTGTGAATACTATTTTCATAATTATTGCTGTTATTGATGAAATAAATCAATAGTCAAGGTCGATGAGCGACCTATAAAATTAATTAGGCCGCGAATTATACTTCCAAAACAAGAAATCCACAGAATATGACAATGATACAGATTATATTATAAATCTACATCAATAATTGGGGCAACAGGAAAAAAAAAAAAAAAATTTGCTTTCAGAAAGAAAGTAGGCGTTTTATATATACTACGTTTAAACCAATTTCGTCCTTGGGGGGGGGGGGGGGGGGGTTTTTGGGGGGTTAACAATAGGCCCCCGCCGGGTCCAAGATTTTTAAATAAATATAATTTGTTCAGAATACAACTTGTCTGGAAACTTTGAGTTAAAATAGGCTTTCGAATTCCGTCCGATCGCGAACCACCTTACAGAGAGGTGAGTTTCGCGTTGTGACTTTAGTCTGTGGATTTCCAAATATTTACAGCTAAAATAGTTCGACAGGGCTTCTTGTTTAAATGTTATATACCTAGGTTATTTCACCTTCCATCAAGTTAACTCCATCTGTCTGTCTACCTCTATCGTAATAAAAGATAGACGCGCAGTAGTAACGTAGTTTATAAAAGCTACATTGCTAGTCAAAACACAAGTCCGAAATAAATTTTCATTGTTGTTTGTGGCATATAGTCTGTTTATTTGAAATACCAAGAGTACTATTCTTAAGGTAGTAAGTAGTTAACTAGAGCCACGAACCAAATTACTCTATATAACTCTAACAACAATATACCATGAAAGACAAACGTTTCTTTTATCTTATAGATAATTTACCTGAAACCAATTAGAGAATGAGCTGACGTGCCCTTATGTTTCCTGGGAAGTAGAACCCAAAACCATTGCTCCTCTCACCCTGGTTTGGCTGTAGTAGTAGCATACTTATTTGAATAAACAACTTTAAGGGTTTAAAACGCGATATATATCAGTTGCCGC